AATTAGAAAAAGGATTAAGTTAGGTTTAAAAGCTCAGTGGAAACAAATAGATGAAACTAAAAATAGTTTGGTATGTTGCAACTTCCGTCTAATCCAAATAGCAAAGTATATTTTCAGGTTGAGGAGCTCAGAGGTACAATTGCAGCCTGGGTTACCTACTTAACTACTCACCACACTGCTATTCTCCCTACACAGACTGCTTTCTGCATGTGAGGTGGAACAATGGATTCATTTACCATTAATAAAGCTTTCTTAAGCTATGAATTAAATGGGGAAAATACAAGGAATGCTTTGAATAAAGTTATTGTCATAGGCATAGTAGGTTTAACACGAAGCCCCTGAAACATGAGCTACAGGCCCTATCATTTCAAAAGCCCTATACTTAATTATATATGCATAACTTTGATTCTGTTAAAAAGAAGAGCCCCTCAAATTAAGTTTCAGGTTCCACAAAAACTAATTAAATACTAACTAATGCCTTGTACTTCAAGTAGAATGTATACATTGGCGAGCAGGTGAAGTGCAGGCATTAGTTAGTCATTAATAATAATATCTGGCCACATTATCTATTCAGTAGTGTCATTTCAGTGATTGCAAAGCTGACCATAATGCAGATGTCCACCTTTGTCACCTTTTCTTCCCGTGAGGAAATTGTTATGCCCAGATTTCAAGATCCCCAATAGACCAACAGGGAGCCAGCCCAGCCCGATGCAAAAGCAGAGAGTCTTTATTATTACAGACCTGGGTCTGGCTCCCAGCCTCTACCGATGCAGTGGTGAGACTAGAGTGCCAGCCCCGTGGGAAAAAGGGGTTTTAATAGGGGGATGGAGTGAGGGGAGGAGAGATGACTGTGGGCCCTGCCAATTGGCCAGGTGCAAGTTGGGTCTTGTTACACAGGATGTGGTCATATCTATGGCGCGCACGTCCCTTGATTGTCATTGGTTAGTTTAAAGAAATCCTGGGCGTGGCCAGCAGAGGCTTGGGCTTCCGGGAAGAAGGTGCTTGCTGAGCACGTGACTGCTGCCCCAACATGGAGGATTCAGGGCAAGATGGAGGACGTAGCCCTCGCCCTTTCAGAAAGGCACTAACTTATGAATGAATGTCTGCTCATATGCTGTGGATGAGTGCCCATTGTTAAGATTCATTTCTGGCCGAAACCGGTTTGGCTCAGTGGATAGAGCGTCAGCCTGAGGACTGAAAGGCCCCAGGTTCGATTCCGGTCAGGGGCATGTACCTGGGTTGCAGGCACATCCCCAGTAGGAGATGTGCAGGAGGCAGCCGATCGATGTCTCTCTCTCATCGATGTTTCTAACTCTCTATCTCTCTCCCTTCCTCTCTGTAAAAAATCAATAAAAAATATATTTAAAAAAAAGATTCATTTCTGATCACAGCTGTGAATTTTTGGCTATGAAATCAAGTGTTCAAAACTATGTCTGCTTTTGCTATAGTCAGATATTTTTTCCACTTGAACATGTGTTCTGAGTGAAAGAAACCATCTCAGAGATCTTGCCAGAAGTAAGCCTACGTTCTGAGTGGAGTTTTCAGAATGCCAAGATACTAGGGGAAAGGGGTCTGGGCCCTCAGCTATCCGTTGTCATGCTCACTATCTCTGAGGCGTTGAGGCTCTATCTGACCTAGAGGTGTGCAGTCCAGGTGGGTTGAATCTTTGTCCTTGTCCTGACTGTGAGCTCTCCTTCGATGAGCTCCCTCTCTCAGTTTCTTCCATGTACCTGAGGCATGGAAGATTCCCAGGGATCAAAGGATTGGAATTCTTTGGCTTCCCTTCAGCACTACTCGGGAAATGCAGGGAAACCAGTGCTCTGCCACCTGTGTCTAGACATGCCAGCAATCATGTCCACTCCTTGCTCCCATGCCATGCCATGCCATGCCAGGCACCAGGAGCTGCTCTAAGGCACACGTGTGTCCTGGGTCCCACCTTGGAATGGAGACACAGGCCTCTTCTTTTCTAAAACTGCCACATCTCCTTGAGGATGGAATGAGTTGGGGTGCAGGGCAGGACTCCTTCTGAGAGGAAGGGCATGTCAGCCTCTTGTTTACCCTCATTCATGAGTCAGATTGCGGAGTGAGGAGAGGAGCCAGCCCTCTTCCACAAACGTTCATCTGTGGCCAGCGTTTCTGTTTACATACTGTACTGGGTTCTTAGGGCTCTGGCTTTGGAAGCTTAAGCGCCAATATTCATGTGGCTTTAAATTTTCAAGCTACCAATCTCTGACTCCAAAAGCCAGTTTTTGAAACTTGAAAACCGGAATTGATTTTCTGTGCTCTGGTTCTCATGTGGCTTCTCCTCCCAGAAACACTGAAAGTAGAAGGTGCACAGTGGAGAGCCGGTGAAGTGTAAGGCATTAGTTAGTCTTTAATAATATTATCTGGCCACATTACTTATTCAGTAGTGGCATTTTAGTGGTTGCAAAGTTGACTGTAATTCTGGTGTCCGTCTTTGTCACCTTTCCTTCCCATGAGAACATGTGCTAACCCATGAATGAACGTCTGCTCCTATGCTGTGGAGGAGTGCCCATCGTTAAGATGAACTTGTTCTTTTTCAGGTCAGGGTAACCAGGTCATGTTGTGGGCAACTATAAGAGTCTGCCCTGGGGTCACTGTCAGCACCCAGACTGTATGAAAGATGAGAATTTGAAATTTTCATTTTCTAAATTTGATAGGGGTGTCCTACTTGCCACATTAGGCATTAATAGTTTTGGGTCCACCCTCAAGGTGAGCCTCACTAATGGAGAATGTAATTTGGTGTGCACAAACACAGATCCCTACACAAAAAAAATTACATACTTAATTCAGTGCTGCCAAAATAGTGGTTTTGGGTGTCATTTTTAAATAACACTGCACATAATTTTTAGTAGTGTAGATAGCAAGACTTAAATGTTTTATTGATTGTTTGGAAGTATTAAAATGAAGGATTTTTGTTATATAGTGTTTTTCTTGGACATTCTAAAGCACTTAACAAAGACAAGTTTGGAATTCTTCATAACACTGATATGTAGAAATGGCAACAGTTTCAACTATACTTTATAAAATTAAGCTAGATTTCTGCATTTCTCTCAATTTCTCATTTCAAGAGAGTGATGTTATTCTTATGCAGAATAAATAAGATATTTGAAATGTATTTGAACTATTTTTTCTGCAGTTCCATTTCAATAGTAGTTACAATTATAATTTATCTTTCAGACTTTAAATAGACTAGCAGCTTTCTGTGAAAACTAATGAGAGTGAAATGCAAGAGTATATTTTAATTCAAAGTTAATAAAAAATAACAGAATCAGGATTTAACAGCCCCTGAAAGTCACCCATAATTTGAAATTTTAAAATATTACATGTGGGAGCAATAGTGATTATATGCTTTTGACATCCCCTCGAGTTATTTATGATGGATGTGGGCTTTGGATACATTTCACATCCATTAACAGTGGGTTTAGCTTAAAAGGATTCTCTTCTTGAATCTTAAACAATTGTTGAAGGTAATTCCAAAATGAAAGAAACTGAAGCACAGATTTACTAGATAAAAAAAAGAACTTCATAAACAGCAGGCGTGATCAATAGCATGTGGAAACAGGCAGTACCATTAGGTGTGCTAAACTGGACCTTTGCATGTTCCATTGAGGATTAGTATCTAAATTCCTCAGCTTCATCTACCAGTCATCCCATACTAAAGATAATTTTTCCCAGTTAATTTTAACGATGAAAAATAGAAGTACTAGAAGCACATGCTACAACTGCATTTCTTCCCACCTATTTTTTTGGCAAAAATATCATTTCTAATAAGCTAAGATTTAACTATAAATAAAATAATACATTAACATTGTAAAGGAGAAGGATAAATTCTTGATGGAGTACAGCCAGAATCAACAATTAGTTTTAAGGCAAGAAAAGCAATAAATTTCTGCTAGTAAGCTAATAAGACCTGGGAAGGGCCGAGTCACATTATTTTATGTACCATTGTTATATTCCATATTGTTATTTTCATTTCATATGCGATCTGTATTTTAAAAATTATATTCCTTCCCTAGCTGGTTTGGCTCAGTGGATAGAGCATTAGACTGCAGACTGAAAGGTCCTGGGTTCAATTCCAGTCAAGGGCACATGCTCGGGTTGCAGGCTTGATCCCCAGTAGGGGACATGCAGGAGGCAACCAATCAATGATACTCTCTCATCATTGATGTTTCTATCGCTCTCTCCCTCTCCCTCTCTGAAATCAATATAAATATATTTTAAAAAATTATACTCCAAATTCCAATAAATCATAACTACTCATAGTTGAACTTTTATTTCTATGTACATTAAATATATACATTATTAAATGTTATATGAATAAGTTTATAAAGCAGACGCATATTCAATTTCAAATACAACCATTACACACAGGCATATTTTGCTCAGCAATGGAAATTAATCTTTAAAATGCTTAAAATATAATTATTTAACTACAGATGTATGCCAATGACTTAAATTTTTTGAAGCCTTTTGTGAAGTTATTCAATATTTACTAAGCATCAAGAGTTCACTTACTACCCAGCTGACATATAGAATTGTGGGGAGTTATTAAGACACTTCACGAGAAAAGCAAGAATCTTCTGTGCTAGTTTTGAGGTGTGGAACATTTTATTATAATGTACCAGTTGTACAACATTGTGCAGTGCTGCTCATAGTAGAAAAGTTTTCTCCTTGACATTATCTGTTCTCTTGAGTATAGTTTGGCTATTTATGTGTGACTTGCATACCTAAGAATTAAGTGATCAGGAAAATAAACAGGTCTAGCCAAAGCCCATTTATGTAGGTCCTAGTTAAATCTCTTTGACTAAGCTTTTAGTTCTATTCAATTATTTCCTGTGAGTTCATGATAAAACGTTCCGACAAATAACCACAAGTTGACTAGCTAGTGTTACATCCTACAAGTTATTTTTTAGGAAACATCAAACTATGACATTGCCTGCAGCTCAGGCAATAAAATATTGTAATTTTCATTTCAGATGCGATCTGTGAGCCGCGTCTTTAAGTTTATAGACATGCCAACAGAAGAAAGTATATCCACCAAATCAAGAAAACCATCCAAGGATGGACAACTCTCGGAAGTTATGATTATTGAGAATCAGCATGCGAAGAAAGATGACATCTGGCCCTCAGGGGGCCAAATGATCGTCAAAGACCTCACAGCAAAATACATAGACAGCGGGAATGCCATATTGGAGAACATTTCCTTCTCCATAAGTCCTGGCCAGAGGGTGAGATTTCCACATCGCTTCCTTTTTTAGACCTGGATGCAGTAAGTTAATCTCAGTAGCCTAGAATGATGTGTTCGTAGAATGTGTTTGTAACACCATTATTTTAGACTAGGATCCATACTGAACACATATATTTCAAGTTGTTGTTATATGGACCCATTATTTTTTTCCATATGAAATTTCATTTGCAGAGTCCTGCATCTACATAATAGATTAATTTAAATATGATTCCACTTACAGAATATCTATTTGATTAGTAGGTTACTCAGTAAAGAAGTCATTAAATAGAACAAAATTATAACATTTTAGATTTTGTACCTGGTGACTATCTTCCATTTTCTGTAAGAGAAATATCTTGTTGACCTCATCTAATGTCTTAAATTTTACTTAATTTACACTCTGTCAAAGAAGTGATACTTTTTTGCTATGCTTTTCCCCATTTGGTTAGTTGGAGTTTTCGTCAAGGTATAGATCAATGTTCCCCCAGTAATTTACTAAGCAAATTTTATTACTTAATGAGCAAAAATAACCATGCATTATTTTGAAACATTCCTTATGGATCCCAACACTGGGCTGAGCACATAGAAAGTACTCAAATATTCTGATTCTGGAACTGATCCTTGGAGAAAGAGATGGTGATTCTTTCTACATTTCATGTTCTATAAATGTGGTTTAATATTGTCTTCAAATCTCATATTCTGGGCCACTCCATAAATCTATACAGGAGTATTATATTGTTTTGATTGTTATCTTTTTAAAAAAAAAACTGAGATAGAATACAAGAAAGCCATGTCTTATGAAAGCTGAATTTAAAAACTTCATGTCTTTGTGGATTAATTTCAAATAGAAATTTTTAAAAAAATTATTGAGAGAATGGTCAGGAAAGTTTATTAGGCCTCCCTCACTATCACTAGCTAGGAAGAGACTGTTATCACTTGCTTTTTTCCATAGGTTTAGGAATATTTGATAATTTAATGCACTGGATAAAGTTTAGTTTAAAAAGAATATAGAATGAGCAAAAAGTCCCTGTATACCATTCTAAATGGCTTAAAATAGCACACTGGAAATTTTGACTCATCTTATTAAACTTATAGTTAAGATAAATAAATTCACATACTACTAAAATTAGCCTATTGTATTTCTTTTTTCAAGAAAATATGTTTTTATTGATTTCAGAGAGAGAAAGGGAGATGGTGGGAGAGAAAGAGCATCAGTGAAGAGAGAGAATCATCAACTGGCTGCACGCCCCCTGACTGGGAATCAAATTGTGACCTCCTGGTTCATGCTGGTCGATGCTCAGCCACTGAGCCACACTGGCTGGGCTATTGTATTTCTTTATATTATAAATAATGAGTTTCTTCTTTTTTGATAGAAAACAATTTTAAATGGACATAAATGGGAAGACTTTAGTTTTTTGGTTTAATTTACCCCAGATTTTAGGATGAGGTTGTTTATGGCTATTTGTTTTATATTACAGCCCTCATAAAAATCTCTGAGATTTTTGACATTTTTGCTTCATTATTGAACTCTAAGAAATGTTTAAGTTATGCTTTGGAATTATGTAAAAGTAACTATTCCTCTTCGCTCCTCCCTCGCATTGAGAAAAGCATAATTATTTACTTACTTTGGCTTTATACATCAGGGAATGCAATCTGCAGCTCAGTGTCCCTGGAGTCACCAGGATGGATGCCCAAAGTACTGTCATCAAGTTAAAAACAAGAGCAACAAACAGTTTTATATAAACCAGGGTGGAAAGCTGTGGTAAATGATTTGCTCTCCTTCCTCTTGACACCCTCCCTTCCCTTAGCGTTACCAGTGCTCACTTGCCCACTCAATTAAATTCAGCCAAGTTCTAGTAGTGACAGGATCTGCAGCATCCTCATTTCCGAACAGTTTCCCTGATGTGAGAGTAGTAATCAGAGATGCTTTAAAATGAGGGAGAAACAATATGCATGGGCATTTTATTTCCCCTGAACATATATACACACACACACATACACACAGGCTATGTGTGTTCCATAACTATTCTTTGCAAGATGTTGTCTAAATGCTATGGGGGAATTAAAAAGTTCTCGCATGAGGCTATGGATCTTGCCATCCAAAGAGGGAAACTAATGTTTATTGGGTGCTTATCATGCCCTAATCACTGTTTAATGACCTTTATTTGCTATCACATTTGACCTTATTATAACTCAAAAGGTAGATATTATTGCCCTTTTTGTGCACAGTGGGAGAAACTGAAGTTCAAAGAAGTAACTAAGGTAGCAGGGACCTAAACCCAGGTCTATCTTACTGGAAAGATTTTTGTGGATTTTTTTTTTCTACAACTTGCCACTGCTTCTCTTAAAAGAAGGAGTAGAATAAGGGGATGGGGGGAGGAGAGAGAGAGAGAGGGAGAGAGAGAGAGAGAGAGGTGTTTGTCCCCAAAAATGACAATCTAAAAGAAGTCCAACATCCAGTAAAGGCTGAGGCAGATTTATTGTGAAGCTAACAAAGCTTAAGTTTTAAATTTCAAAGAACTTCACTTGCCTGACTCAGTTACTCTGAAAAGAAGGAACTGAGACTGTTCTATTTATGGTACAATGTACTTACAACTAGCACCAAACCTAACACTGTTTAACTCTCCACATAATAGTTTGATTTATCTTGATCCAAAATTCTCAGAGAGGAGCTGCATTGAAGTTACTAGAAAACACTGACTTGATATTAGGATAGATCTTAAAAGCCTGTTTGTGGGAAGTACTCTGGCTTTTTCAACAGGTCACTGAGAAGGCCTGACAAAACAAATGCCGGAAAAGAATTAGTGAGTGCCAATTATGTAAATAACAAGAAGACTTTGTTAGGTACAAACCAGTAAGGTTCCTTGGTGTTGAATGAAAAACATGTCAAACATGCTACAATACAAGCTGTTCAATAATATAAGGAAACCAGAGCAAAAGCTAAAAATTTTAAAGCTAAACAAAAGATTAATAAATGGCCTATGAATCTAGTCTCATCCCAGCATAAAAACTGAGTTCTCTAAAAATCAGTATTTGCATTTTAAGGAAAGGGAACATGTCATTTATCCTAGTCATTAAAACCCTGACCAATGATTTGGGGCCTGGACCTCAAGGCATTTTTTATCAAAAATTTTTGATATGACCTTAGAGAAAATTACTTCCTTTTATTGAATTTTTTTTCTCTATATACCTCACCTATACAAGGCATATTTAGACTGCTTATACAAAGCTTTACTGTTGTGCTCAAGTAATCGTGACATATGGTGAATAGGTTTGTACAACATGGGCTGATTCAAATATGGAAGTTACATTATGGAATTTCACAAGATTTTTAAATTGAGCATTGATCTAGAAATTGACCAAATTAACAAAATCCATTTGTTTGTTAGATCGACTAAGTAAGTTTATTCATTCATCTGCCTTTCCCTCCCTTTTCCCTCCCTTCCTCCGTCTCTACTTCACTTCCTTCCGCCCTTCTTTTCATACATACATACATACATACATCCTTCTATCTGCCTGCCCCTCAGTCAATCCAAATAAGTATTTATTGAGCACTTTATATGGGCCAAGGTGCTGAGAATTCAAGGAGATACAAGATAGACTGCTGTGCCCTTTAAGAATTAATATTCTTGGAGTTAACACAAGCAATAATCAAGAAAAGAATAAAATAATAAATAAAATAATTACTGATTGTGATTAGTTGTATAAAGAACCTCAAAGGACTGTTGTGTATAGCATTTGGTTTATCTGGTTTTCTCAGTTATCTCAAAGAACATACATTTTTTTCAACTGCAGTTAACATGCAATATTAGTTTCAGGTGTACAACCCAGTGATTACACATTATATAACTTACTAAGTGATCTCCCTGGTAAATCTAGTACCCATCTGATACCATACATATTTATTACAATACTAGAGCCCCAGTACATGACATTCATACACTGGGGGGAGGAGAGGTCCCCTCAGCCTTGCCAGCACCCTTTTGTAGTCCAGGAGCCCTTGGGGGATGTCCAACTGACAGCTTAGGCCTGCTCCCCGTGAGGCAGAGAGTAGGCCTAAGCCAGCAGTCGGACACCCTTAGCGCTGCTGTAGAGGCAGGCTGCTGTGCTCACCAGCCGTCAGCCTGGCTTGTGGCTGAGCGGCACTCTTGTGGGAGCGCACTGACCACCAGGCGGCAGCTCCTGCATTGAGCATCTGCCCCCTGGTGGTCAGTGCGCATCATAGTGACTGGTCGTTCTGTTGTTCGGTCGATTTACATATTACCTTTTTATTACATAATATTATTGACTACAGTCCTATGCTGTCCTTTACATTCCTGTGACTATTCTGTAACTACCAATTTGTACTTCTTAGTCCCTTCACCTTTTTTTACCCCTCCCCCCAACTTCCCTTTCATCAAAATGGGAAACATACATTTTTTAAGGCCTCATTATAGAGCTCTTATGAAAAAAAGACAATTGTGTCATTATTGTTTATTTACCAGTTTATCCCAAAGGCCTAGTTTATTTCCAGGTTCCTAATAAGTGATTAATAATTTATTATTAAGATTATTATAAGTGCTAAAGCATTTATTGTGTCTGTGAACTGATTCTGGTTTGCAAACTGTTACTAGTCTGTGATAAGTATGGAAAGTAAGACTAAGCATTTGGAAATTCATTTTTATTATCCAATTTTTAAAGTACTGATGTGCAGTGGGTTAGAAACTAAAAACACAAAACAAAATGTGACTGTCCTTTGCCACAGATGATGTAAAATCACTACTCTGAAGGACCATTTGCTCAGTTCTACTGTACAAATGGCTGAATGATAAAAAAAAAAAAAAGGAATAATGTTAAGAGGAAGGAAATGAACATCTATTCAGTGCCACTAAACGTTGGGCAGTTTATTCATTAAGAAGTGCAGGAATGTTTGATCTCACACAAAGCACCTTCCCCCGCGTGCTGGGTCTGAGTTAACATCAGCGCGCAGGGCTGGGCTAAGTTCCTGCAGCACCTGCTCGC